TAGAAATAATAAATCTAATAGAAAACATTTGGATCGTTAGTTTCCATTGTTTTAGATGGAACTCCTACTTGTATCTACCTTTAAGATGGATGCTTTACATTTTCTAGACCGCATATGTAGAAATGCTGCCTAGCCCGCATGAAACAATTTTCCTTTAATAAAAGAGCTAGATGCCGTGCTGCTCTGCAAATATCAGCCATTGGCAGCTTAGATACAAGAAATGCTTGACAAATATTGCTACTGGACTCAGTGAGAGCATCTAGTATCTATCTTAAAAAGGAGTGGACTGATTCCAAATAGTGGCTACATTTATAGAGGCCATGGCTGCATTGGCTAGATGACACAATTGGTTGTGTTTGAGTTCATCACAGAACAAGAGAAACCATGAACATTAAAACAAAACAACAAGAGAAACCCATGATGCATGTGGACTACTGTAGTTTGATGCATTGATATATACAGCACACTGTAGTTTATCTTCTTCCATGACCATCATTGTAGGTTTAAAATAGCATTAAAAAAGACGGACGGATTTTTTAGCCAGATATGCCATGACTTGGAGAAGAAAGAATAACTTCTTTGGGTGCAAGATTAGGAGTGTATTCTATGTCAAACTTCTCTCACGGCCAATGACATGTACTGCATAATAGGAAGTCTTTATGAAAGGTTATCCTGGAGGAAGGAATGCTCAGAAAAAAGCTTTCAGTTTTTCCATGGAATGGCACCAAAACATTTCGACAAAAAAAAATGAGTGTGTGGGCTGTTACTTTTGGCCGGATGTGTTTGCCAACCTTCTTATTTTCTGTAAGGATGGAAGGAAAACCTAGATTCTCCACCGAACAAGGTATTGTCAGCACAACTGTGCTACATATTCAATTAATCACTATGTGAACTGTAACCAAAATTTGTCCTTTTTTTGACATTTTTTATCAAATTTTTCCTCACCTCAATATCATTATCATCACCAGAGCTTTTTCTCAACTATTTGGGGTTGGCTTTTCCTAACCTCAATATCAGATACTTATTTGTTTTCTGGATATTATTTTATGTGCATTTGATGGCTTCGTTATGAATTGATAACCTGCCTTGCTTAGGTTGTGCTTGAAGAGGATGTCAACTCCGTCCGACTAATTACCTTAAACAGGCCTCGCCTATTGAATGTGCTCTCACCTGAAGTGGTATGGTGGAGATGTTCCATCCTTTGTTGTTCAATAAGTGAAAGCACCTGAGCAATGCTTAGGTTTTTTTTGTGAAATTGTCTCATGCTGATTTGGTTGATTATCAGGTCTTTTTGCTTGCCAAATGTCTGGAGAAATGGGAGCTAGAAGAGACCGTGGAGCTTGTCCTAATTAAGGTGGGAATATATAATTCATTCTTGAAAACCATTGATATGATAGAATTGTCAAATAAAACTAAGGAAAGGAAGAAAAATAAGCCTTGAAGTGATTGTTATAGACGGTGATGTTATCCTTGACTCGTGTTCGCTGTATTGTCTAGGGAGCTGGACGAGCATTTTCAGCTGGTGGGGATCTAAAGGTTTTCTTTGCTGGCAAACATGGTATGTAAGAAGTTTCACCAAAGATGTTCGAAAATCCTGCATTCCATTTGTTTACACTTATTTCTTTCGGATGCATGCTTCATTTACTTGTTCTGGAATACTTACAGCGGTATATTTGATTGTGGGTCTATATCTTTGGCCAATTCACATTTTATATTCCTTTGGTCTTTTATTGTTCACCTTTTCAGTATGTGGTTTTGGACATGAGCAAGAAACTAAAAAGTGATCTTTATTCCATTCTTTCAATTACTTATTCTATGTTTGTCTTTTTTTCTTCTTCTCCCTTTTGGCAGATGATTCTTGTCTCGAGGTTGTATACAGGATGTATTGGCTTTTGTATCATTTCCACACCTATAAGAAAACCCAGGTATTTACTTTTCAGTGGTTTTAATTTGATGTGACGCTAAAGGAGAAAATTACAGTCCATGATCTCAACAAACTTACCAAGTAAATGATAACTTAAACAGACTTCTGGTGTTGCTTCTGTGTAAAATCTACTGTGTTGTATCTTCCAGGTTGCTCTTGTTCATGGACTTGTCATGGGTGGCGGTGCTTCTCTGGTGGTCCCTTCGAAGTTTTCAGTTGTTACGGAAAAGACTGTAAGCCTTGGATTCTATCCTTATTGAGAACCTCTAAATTCTTAAATCACTCGGGTTTCTACTGAAAGATTTCGTGTGAAACTGATTTGAATGATCTAGTGATCATATCCCACTTTCACCAATCAAAACAAAAAAAGGTGATTGTATCTCCCTTTGCAAAAATGACACTTCCTGCAATAACTTGAAGTATTAACGGCTGAATTATATGTTATTTGATGTTGATTAATGTTAAAGACTTTGAAATTTTATTATACAAGTGTTAGGTATTCAATTTTGTGACTTTCACCTTGTAGGTTTTTGCAGTACCAGAGGCCAGTATTGGATTCCACACTGACTGCAGCTTCTCTTACATACTGTCACATCTCCCTGAGCATCTAGGTGAGCATTGTTATACATTGAAAATAGCAGTGCAATGCATATGGATGTCTGTAATAGCAGAAGATCTTTGGGTTGCAAGTATCTTATGTATACTGAATGATGAGTTATAGGGTGTTTTACATCTTTCATGTTTGGAATTGTTCTTTATACACCTGCTTGGGTTAACTTACAGGGGAGTACTTGGCTGTAACTGGAGCAAGGCTTGATGGAAAGGAAATGATTGCTGCTGGTCTTGCAACCCACTTTGTCCCATCCGAGGTGAAAAGCAATCCATAACTTTTCTCTCTTCTTACTTCTATTTTTCTCTCTCTGTAGTGATAAAACTTTGACTTAGCAGTTCCTGAACTTTTGTTATTTTGTCATGGATGCATTGCAGCTTTCAATTTCCTTTGCTGCATATGTAACTGTGTCTCTCATAACTGGTCCTGTAATCCAATCCTAATCTACACAGGAAAAGGATTAGAAATCATCATTTGGTCCATTTAAGTTCACAGCTTCTTCTTCTTTTTTTTTTTTTTGGTTGTTTCTGCTGTTTCCTCTTTTAGTTGTCTAAATTTGAACATAACAGTGCTGCACCATCTAAATTTGAATTAATTTCGAGAATATTGTTAAAATACTAAGTGTAACTCTTTAAGTTCTGAACATAACAGTGCTGCACCATCTAAATTTGAAATACTTTTGAGAATATTGTTAAAATACTGTGTAACTCTTTAACTTCTATACCAATGAAAACAAATCCTTTTTTAGTTCTGTATTTCCAGAAAGATCAACATTAATGAGGAAAAAAATGCCACCAATAGAAATGATGATTTTCATGATGAATAAAATGTTCAAATTGTATTTTATTCATGTAAAGATCTCATATGCACCAATCATGTCGAAGTCAGCTGGGAAAAGTCAAGTTGACTTGTCAACTGCAGGTATGGCTCGAAGACCACACTCTAGACTTGTCACCAATGAAAAGGTTTACAATTGCTCAAAATTGGGGGAAAAAAAAGGTTATAAGTCAGATAGAAGTCGTAAGGCATTGTTTAACTCCCCAGACTTTTCAACCTAGATCCAATGCTATTTATTTAAAAGTGGGGACCAATTGACATGAGTAGATTCAACTTGCCCAGGCTTTTAAATCACTAGCATAAACAATAAAATCTGCTCTAATGTTTCTAGTAACACATCATTTTAAAAAGGATGTTCGGGCTTACTTGTTTCGGTTCATTACTAGTGACCTACGAGTCGCTTCAGCCTCCTGAAATAAAAATTCTCCATTTTCATGTTCAATTTGCTTCCCCCTGAATCATGCCAAAGATGTACATCTACACTCACTTTTGAAAGCCGCGAGTCTGATTGCATGTGGTCACAGCGCCCAATCATTTCATTTCTTCTATGTGATGTCTTGTAACCCAACACTTTTTATCATTGCTACTTCGGTTAAATACTGGAAAACCTAAGTTTTCCATTAATTTCTTTAATATCATGTTATAAATTAAGTCCTGAGAATAAATATGATGAGTAAGATGTCATTAATCACATGTCAGCTTACTTCATGTATGCAGAGTGTCATTTTCTTACCACCAAAGGACTAGTGCCCATTTACTTTGTCCATGAAATATGATGTCATTTTCACAATTTTAGTCAACCTACAGTTGACTTAAATATCACATGTGCAAACGACTAAACGACTCCCTTTTCGATAAATCTCTTTATGCTATTAAAGGCGGGAGGCAACTTTAAGTGTGCCGGTATGCAACTACTAGGTCTATCTGCGAACCATCTGATCTTTATGGACGATTGGGGGTTTGCATCACTAGGTGAACTATAATTCTTCTTTTACGTGTTGGATAGAGATGAAATTTTGGGTGTGTGTACTTCTTCCACTCATGCACCTGAAAAAGAAATAATTCTAAAAAATCGAAATAACCGAGATACCCCTGCAATGTTGTTAGGATATTTCAGCGATTTTATTTTTTGTTATATTTTATTTTATTTCATGTGATCGTGAAATGGGGCCCACACATTCACAAAATTTCAGACCAATCTGATTTGTGCAAAAGTAAAATTCATTGCCTAACATTTATTTTCCTAATGATCAGATGGAGATCTAATAGTTGGGACTGGGGAGTCAACCATTGTGATTGTACAAGATATATATGTATATAGGATAAAGCTATCGAATGCTAGCCCCTATGTGGAGTAGTAATTTCGGTTGGATTGAACCATGAAGAATATATTTCATATTTCAATTTTAGTTGTTTTCTAGAAATCGAATCAACAAGGCACTTTTGATAAAAGTAGGAAGGGCATATTTTGGATTGAAATTTTAGGGGTATTTTGGTCGATTTATTTTATCCAAAATATTTTTTTGTTATTTTTATTAGAAACGACATATCTATAGAATGATTGTAGCTAAGATGAGGATGTTGAGATGGATGAGTGGCAAGACAAAAAAGGATAGAATTTTCAATGAATACATCTAAATGAACCTAGGGGTTGGCTCCAATAGGCGATAAAGTAAGGAAAAGTAGACTTAGGTGATCTAACCATGTGCAACGTCGACATAGAACACCAGTTAGTAGGGGCGATTTGGTTCAAGCGGAAGGTTATAGAAGGGGCAAGGGGAACGCCCAGAAAGGGAATGCCCAGAAAGGCATGGATAAGACTATTTAGAAGAGAAATAGTGACTCATGGTCTGACTGAGGGTATGACCCTTGATAGAGCAGAATGACCGAGCAAGAGTTATTTAGCTGACCCCAAATAGTTGAGATAAGGGTCAGATGATGATGATGGTGATTTTTATCAGGTACACCTTGTTAAGATCTATACACACCTAAATTTTAAGCCGATTCGATTCTCAAAATAAAAATAAAATTAAAATATGAAATACATTCACCACCATCCAATCATAAGATTGGACAATGGAGCTAACCTAAAATACTATTCATTTTAGGTTACAATATATTGGTAGCTTTTTCCATACATTTGTGTGTGCATGTGTGTGTGTGTGTATACATATATAATGACTACTTGTGACATGTATTATGTAGCTATAACCTTTCTTAGTGGAACTCTAAACTGGAAGAGCCACATTTGAAGAATGGGAAGATATAGCTCTCCATTTGCATCATCTAACTGTGGCGACATAGTCTATGTAAGAATTCTACTCATACTCTAGTTTGGTCCATGAGGATGTAAAGCAGCCTAAATGTATTTAGATATCCTCAAATATCCTTCCTTAACAGGTTAGGATCTGACATAGCTTGGCCACCCAAGATCTATTGCAAAGTAGAATTGTAATAATTGATAGACCCATCCTTTTGTTGGGCTGATCTTAAATTTTTTCCACATTATACAAACCTTTGAGTGGTCCCATACTGCTTCAGTTGTAGTAAGATGGTATTGCCTCAGAAGTAACTGAGTAGGCCATTGAAATATTGCTATTCCATTGCTTTTTCAGTTTAACATAGTTGCTTGTGATTGCAATCTATGAGGCTATAGGAGATGTTAGGAACGTCTTTTCTCTTTAAAAGATCACTGTCCAATATACGGCTACAGGAGCTATTGGAATCCATTATTCCTCTTCCAAGAACCTTTTGGATATACATATTTTGGGTAAATACCAAGATTTAAAGAAAGAAAGAAGAAAATAAAAACCCAAGATTGTTTTTGGTGCTTACTCATGTGAGTGTTTTCCTAGGAATGCAAAATTAGTGTCTGTGGCTTTATTGATCATCTATTAATCTCCCATTTCAAGTTAATGTATAAAAAATGGCGTTGATTGAAATCCTTGGAAAATAGCTGGTGTTTGATGTACAAAGTCATGCATTTTTGCCTGGAATTTTCATCATGATTAGTTGAATGCTCCTTGATCAAATTGTCTTTAAACCCAGTCAATATTTGATTTTTTTTGTATTTTAACACTTCAATTATATCTCTAATTTATGTCTGAGTTTATCTAATCGTCTTTTCTTCATGACAGAAACTTGCTGAACTTGAGAAGCGACTAATAAGTCTGAACTCGGGTGATGAAAATGCAGTTAGATCCGTCATTGAGGAATTCTTCGTTGCTGTTGAGCCTGATGAGAAGAGTGTTTTGCACAAGTAATATTTACTTCAGAAATAAGGAATTCTCAATTGAGTTTGTTACAACAATTGTTGAAAGTTATTTTTTAATGACAAAAAAAAAAAATTTCATCGAATATATATTTTCTGCTTACTTTCAATCTTTGTTTTTCCAGGCAGTCAATTATCAATAAGTGCTTCTCCAAGAACTCCATGGAGGAGATTATAGATTCATTTGTGAGTTTTGTTTGTTCCGAAATTCATTTTTCTGCATGTTAGTGATTAGAGTATGTTCAGGGAAATAATCTAAATTTTGTCTTCTTTAACATCTGGGTGGCATCCTTCCTATTTTCATATAGTAGTCTATCGATCAATTCCTTTTTTCAATAATTAACATTTATAATGGAATGCAGATCATAGGGCAGACAAACAGAGAACAACCCCATGTATTTTACTCTGCATAGTTGAATGTATAATATGCTGATGTCATGCTGATGTCTGGTATTTGTGAATAGTGTGTGGTTTATATAAGGCTAAGGCCCTAAACAATCAAAGTGAGGCGCACCTTCAACTAGTGCCGAAATATGTTGTTTCAGTGTGAGAAATCTTTATGATGGCCTGAAAATTTATCTTCATTCCTAATTATAACATTTAAAGATTAAAAAATATTAAAAAATAGTGTAGATTGAGCAGATCTATGAGTACTTAATAATGTTGAAATTCATGGTCTAGTTAATACATTACAGGATGCATTATTTCCAATACTTGAAATCTATTTTTTCTCATGTCCATACATCTTGAGGCCAAGATGATCAGATTGAGGATTTTTGAGCATCAAAACAACCTCTTCTAGTGAGTTTTTGAGGTGTGCCTTAATTTGATTGTTTAAGGCCTCACCGTGAATAACTTAAATTTTATTTAACTAAAACTCTGTTAACTAAAATTTCAATAATGCTGGAAACCTTAACGTGTCTGAGACAAGGGTTTAGTCTGAGCTAACCTGATTCTTGTAATCATTGACACCAGTAATCCCCTTTTTATGCTTAATTTATGAGCTTATAAACCAATGCCTTGAGAGCAAGTTATGATTCTCTTTGCATTACCAATATAAGGTTAAGCAAATGGATGTTAAGCTTGATAGGGCTAAGGCAAATGATAACTGATATCAGTTCTTCTTTTGACTTGATATGGGTTTGAGAACTAGTGCATACAGCTGGTCGAAAGTTGCCTAAGTAGGGGCAGTACTAAATTTTTGTTAATGGCCCTCCATGTGGCTACTTTATGGGCTTGTTCAGGGGTGAAAGTACATGATCCCTCTTATCACATAGTTTGTTTATTATTGCAGAAGAAGAGTTATCCAAAAAGATTTAGAAATTTTTTTTTGACAAGGTTACATAGGAATGGAACTTGAGACAATGTGCTATGAAAACCCAGCCCAAAACATCTTGACCCAAGCAATCATCAAAGAACTCCAAGATGCAGTTCACAAGGGTTTCTCACTTGTTCTTCACCTAATCTATACCAATGTGGTGAAATCCTTATCAATAGTGCTAAATTTCTCTTGAAATTAAAGGAAACATTAATCATGTATGCATTCTTCTCATGGCAGTGCATGATGAAGCAAGGTGAAATGTATGCAACACTGTTTCAAAACCCGGATTGGTGAGGTTGATTGTCCACCCCACAGATCCAATCGCCAATCCAGATTGGTCCGAATTGGCGATCTTTAGGTGAACCTAAAAAAGCAATGGAAAGGTTCAAACAAAAAAAAAAAGGAAAAAGGGGGTTTTAGCGAAGGGATTGAGCCAGTACCGATGCCCTCCTAACACTAGTTCATTCTCGGCCGATTCCTGATCCGGATCATCGATTCCGTTCCAGATCGGTGGGTTGTGACACACTGGTACGCAGGCTGTACCTGATATGGCAGAGTTCAATGGTTTCATGGATAAGCATTTCTCTGAAGCCTACCCATGGTTTATGTAGGGATCGTATTATTCATTGCAGGGCTAAAACCATGCTCTTTGATCACTTACTTGATATGAGTAATGGGTTCTAGCGTGATTGAGAGGGTATGGAACTATGCATGGACTCAAATGAAGATAGACAAGGTAAGGTGAATGAAACACACGTCATCGATTTCTTGAGAGAGAGAGCCAGAACAATCATGAGCCCCATGGTGGATTGCATCAGTTCCAACTAGGCTCTTGATCTTTTCCTTTATGACCATCTTGAGAATGATTCTAAGCTGCAATTGCTGACTGCTAATTGGTCAACCTATCAGCTGGCAACATTTAAGAATTGCAGCGTATTGTTTACACTTTGGAGATCAGAATCTGATCTAGATGAGCATTGAGGAATGTCTAAAGCCTCTTGGGACGCATAACCAGAGCCACAACCTTGATGGCTTAGAGATATGTTTAGAACTTTTGTGCTTCCCACAGAGGCCTTGGGCTGACCCAAAGATTGCAAAATTTAATTGAAGGGCATTACTGGAAGTGATATCTACACTTCGTATGTAACTCTTGATCTCCTTCTTCCATTGTTTGAATAGTAAAATATATGATCCTTCCAAATTAATCCATTATATAAATGGTTTATTAGAACCTTATATTGTACTAATCCAGGGAAACTCGAGATCTACTATATGTTGTGATGCTAGCTTACAGAAACATTATTTGTCTAATCGAACACAACTCACATAATAACGTGTGTCAGCTTGTCATGACTGGTTAATGTTCAGGAAGAAGAAGCGAAAACCGAGGGAAATGAATGGATCAAAGAAGTGCTAAAGGGTCTGAAAAGATCTTCGCCCACTGGTCTAAAGATAGCCTTGAGATCGGTATGCAAATGCTCATAGAACTTCTCTCATCGTGCTCCATACTGAAACTTTTGAAAATATCTGCATTCATTGGCACTCATTTTGGCTACTTGCTGACTCAGAACTCTTTTATAGTTAATGTCTTTCCTTCGCAAAGGTACTTTGATGTTCATCGGATTTTATTTTTACTGCAAAATCTTCTTTGCTAGGTGCCAAAATGCATAGTAAACAACTATTTGTATTTTTATTTTTTTGTAATTGATTTCCTTTTACTCATTTCAGGTCCGAGAAGGACGAAAACAGACATTGGAAGAATGTATGAAAAAGGAGTTCAGACTAACCATGAATATCTTAAGACAAGTCATATCTGGTGATGTTTATGAGGTACCATCCTTTTCTCTTAAGGAGAACTGTCTTTTTGTGCTTTTATTTTCCTACAAATGAAAAATTTTCTTATTCTGATTTGAAGGGTATCAGAGCTCTGGTCATAGACAAGGACAATGCTCCCAAGGTATATATATATATATATGTGACCAACACAAACAGTACTCTCTCTCTCTCTCTCTCTCTCTCTCTCTCTCTCTCTCTCTCTCTCTCTCTCTCTCTCTCTCTCTCTCTCTTTCTCTCTCTCTCTCTCTCTCTCTCTCATATCATTGGGAATTGTGACAGTGGGATCCTCCAACACTCAACCAAGTACGCAATGAGAATTTAGATAAAGTTTTTCAGCCATTTCAAGAGGAAATGGAGCTCCAAGTCCCATCCGAGGAATCTAGGTGAATCCTCCCACAAGCTTCCTCCATTATATGTTTTATGTTCAGTCATACGAAATTTTCTTCCTTCTATTGCTCGTATGAGTTCCTCCAGCAGTCTTATTGTGCTTAATCAATTACAGGTGGAGTGGGAAGTTCGAGAACTCCGCTTACCAGCTCATTAAAAGTTAAGGTTTGCCTTGTTATAAGCAGTAAATATTAATCATCCGTCTGGTGCTAATTGCAAACATGTAGTGATTGTACGCACAGGAAAACAGACAATATTTATGGTGTATGAAATAATCAAAATCACTGCTGTGTTTTGGATAATCTACTACACTATGCAAAAGGCAATTATATAGTGGTTTCTCAGCCGCTAATCTAAATACACCTCATGTGCATAGATTGTTCCAGCAGTATATCCAAACATAATTTTAGTACATTAGACTTAAGGCACTTTCACAAATTGATGCCAAACCCTCTTTACAGAGGTAGCATTGTTGGTTTTACATGGGCACCACGAATCAATTTCATTGACACAATCCTTGGTGCTTCGTCATGGATTCATGGGGAAACTGCATGGTTTGTGACATTAAAATGATAAATATACAAACATTAAATAATACTGGGTGAAAATGTGTAATACAAATGCCGAGAGTTGTATACTCTCACAGGGGTATATTGTCCATTTATTCTCAGGGTAAAATTGAATCTAGGAGTAATTTTAGCCCCAAATATTGGGGATGTAGCCTCTTCAACCCATGGACTAACTTTAGTTAAAAAAAGAAAAAAAAAAAAAAATGCCAATTGAACTATTAGGAGGATTTGAAAAAACAATGAGCAGCAAAGAAGGATTTTCTTGTTCCTCGATGCTCTTTCAGGACAATATTTTCCCTCTACTAATAATAATTAGCTTGCATATATGTTCTTTGTGCAAATTTATACTTTATACACTAAAGTAAAATATCACAAGGACAAGATCTCAAAGCGCAACAGGGTCGGTTTTCTTTTAAACAGAGAAAATGAGGAGAGAGACAACGTTGTGAAACTTCTTTTAAGTGAACGAGAGGTTCATGTTGTAGAGGTCGATGGTGCGGCTTCGTTTTTGGAACACAACTGTTCCTCTCAACTGTTGTTTTTTCAATAATCATACCTCTTGACTATCAACAATCATGAAACACTCAATCAATACAATCACAATGGCTCAATTGAAAGCTAATTCCTTGACATGACGATTAATAAGTCCCAACAGGCCCTCTCTTTCTACCTCTAGTCACTAAACTGTGACTTTCTATATTATGAGAAATCGTCTTTTTTATTTTTGGAACAAAGTTAGCGTTTATTGCTTTATTAACTAAAAGAACAATATATTGTTACCAGCCATCTCTCTCTCTCTCTCTCTCTCTCTCTCTCTCTCTCTCAGATCAATGGGTTCAGTATAGAGAAGGTAATAGAACAATTCCTTCTGTCGTGTTTCCACGATTGATGCAATGTCAGATGCTTCAATTGTTGATTCTAGAATTAAGCTAAAATGTATAGATCTAGGTTCTCTATTGAAGGTCGACCATAATGTGCTAGTACCAATAGGTGCCCTGGAGGAAGAAGCACTGCACCTAGAAATCAACAGCATAAGAACTTTGTTATAAATTATTCATTTCTTTGATTTGCACTATTGGGATTGGAAGGAAACAATACAATCGACGATTGGAGTTCATCCATGAATTACATAAAGTCGAAACACGCACAAATAAGAGGCCTCTTGTATAGTCATCGAAATGATCAAGTTGGTCACCATTTTCTTCATCGTTTTTGCATAAAGAGCATATATGGACCATGATTTTTCTTCTTCTTCTGCGATTGTCATTACTTAGAGATCTCCCTTGTAAAAGAATCTAAAGATCTCCCTTGTAAAAGAATCGGAATAGACCACTTCTATATCTTATTAAGTTTCTTATCCAGCCATCGTGTTCGATCATGGAACAACAGTCTGTATTCAGATTTCATAGAAAAGACCCCATCACTTTCCTTTTCCATACTCTTTCGTCAATTTTAGCCCTTGGAATATATGTCCCTTCCAATTCAGTTAAAAGCTCCACTAAATGTAAAATGATAAGAGTCTAGCATTCTGCTATAGCTGCACTGTATGTTCCAATTCATTCTCACTTCCTAACATAAACGTATTCCACCTTTACTAAAGGGTTCGATACTTTGAAAATAAGCTGTGGGAAACGTACCTTCTAAGGTCTGTCCGCTAACCATTTGTGAAACCAAAAACTGATCTTGCTGCCCTATGGCTTTACAGCTCAAACTTCTCTTACAAATTACTGATTGTGCATTCTTCTTCCACAGCTGATCAATTGAGTGTTTCGATCCACCTCATATTTTGGTACTAAAACTTCCTTCTAGAGCTATCTCTTGTCAACTAGAGATCTCCATCACCATTTCACCAATAATGTCCTATTTAACTTCTTCAAACTTCTAATGCCTAAATCACCTTTCATTTTGGGAGTACATACTCTGTCCTAATTTGGTAAATGGTATCTCTTCCCTCGTTCTGCTGACCTCCATAAAAAATTTCGCATGATACTTTTAATGGTTTTTGATAATGTTGCTAACCGTGATCATTAGAGACATCTAATAAATAGTAAAGTTTGCTAAGGAAGAGTTCATTAGGATAATTTACCCACCCAAGGAAAGAAATTTAGTTTTTCAAATGTTTGACTTCACATGAGACCTCTTCAAAGTTGAATCCCAATCTTTGCAACAGAGTCAGAAATGGAAAGACTTCACATGAGACCTCTTCAAAGTTGAATCCCAATATCTGCAACCTAGAGTCAGAAATGGAAAGTCCATGATACTTGATAGGAAAAGACTCAACCTTACAACCCACCCGAGTTGCAAAAGATCTCAGCAACTCTTCCTCACATCATACTTCCACAGTAAAAGTCTCATGAAAATTAACTTTGAGTCCTAAAGTAGGCTCACAACACCTTAAAAAAAGTAGTAAGATTACACACTTCATCCACAGTAGCACCACAAAATATAATCGTGTCATCCACATATCATTGAGCATCAAGCTAAAAACTTCAGCTACCAAAGTAAATAAAAAAGATTTGAGAGGATCCCCTTGTCTCAATCCTTCAGATGCTTTAAAGAAACCCTTGGGACAACCATTGATTATAACAAAAAAAAATTGACCATTCAAGAGACAACCCATAATCCATGTCACCCCAAACCCCATCTTTCTTATGATTTCACTTAGAATGCCCCACTCCACCCTATCATAAGCCTTTTCTTTATCAAATTTCAGTAAAATCTTGAGCTTCCCACTCAAAAAACTGAGATCTGGTCCTCGAGGTCTGGCCGAAACCTCCTTGCTTTTTGCTTTGCAAGCTTAAAGGCCGGGTCGATACCGAGTCAGTGGACTGCGACTTGGGGGTCGAGGCCAGTCATCTCATGATAATGCCAAGCAAAGACATCCCGATTTGTGCGTAGGAAAGCGGTATAACACTTTTTCTCATCTAGGGACATATTGGCAGATATGAAGGTTGGCCTCAGGTCGGTCACATCACCCAAGTTTATTTCGTCTGGTTCATCGGTTGTGTCTTGTCCACCTTCCTCCCTTACTTCTGGAGCATTCTGGATTCTGCCTCATCAGTGTTCGAGGACTTAAGGGGTCTTGTGTCAACTTCGAATACCCCGGTTTTTTAATCCAGAGGGTTACGAACTCCTGCTCTTTCCGCTTCGGTCATGATCCTAATGGTATGGGACACATCAATTGCTTCAACACCCCACCTAAATTGGGAAGGGTTGGTTTCGAGAAAGGGGTGGTCAATGGGTTGAGAATACTGGTCTTGAGGAACTCGCGTCAATTGACCAGGCAATGTTAGTGGACGAAGGGATTCGGGCGACTAGGGGAAGCGGCTTCTAGGTAGCACATTGATTTGACCAGTGTTGGCCAATCCCTCAACGATTTGCGCCATGTGGCACACCTCATGTGGTTGAGAGTTTTGCCCTTGCGCTTCCTTCGACTGTTGCTTTAGGTCAGGCATAGGGGCCCATAGGGGCTTCTCATTGACTCTAGACGCTAAAGCATCGATAACTGTTAGGAATCCATCCGCTTGGGCCGTCATTTTCTTAAGTTGTTTTCGATGGCACTTGCTAGTGTTGCAACTTTTAAGCTCTTCATCAAGAGCTTCAAACTTTGGACATTCGAGAACTGTCCTCGTAGAAGATGGATGAGAACAAGAAGGGTACAAAGAATCAGGAATGGAGATAGAGTGAGAGCTTTTAGGGTCATCGCTCAGATTGGACTGAATCGGGTAGCTTTTAACGTCATCACCTGGATTGAACGTGTGCAGAGGATCTTCAAGGTCTTTACTCTGCTTGGACCGTTGAGGGGTGCTTTTAGTGTCATCACTTTTGTCAGACCAATGGGAAGCCTGAATTGGCTTTGAGACTCCTCCTTGGTTGGTCGCGGTGGTCGGCTTAGGGAGGAAGTCCTACAATGTCGGCAATGGAGGTACGGGAGAAAGGAATTCCGCCTCGGTTGACACTTGAGGGATTCTCCTCCTTTGATGAACAGTTCTTGGTACTCGCCTCTTCCTACTCTTTTTTATGGTTGGCATAGACTCGTTATATCCGTGGGGTCAAGAACTCGACCTTTTTTGGCGAACCGCTTCCCTTCGCATGGACTTCATGCTGTTTTGGCCTCGATACACTCGCCACGGCTAAAAAGCGGAGGGGGGGGGGGGGGGGGGGGGAGTCCTCTGGCTCAGAAGATCTTGATGGTGCGCCATCACAAGTGCCCACATAAATTTTAGGGGGCGCGACCCTCCCAAATTTCCATCACATCCTAACTCTCTTCCTATCATGGAAGTTAGGGGAAGATCACAGCTGTCGGCACCATCATATTAGGGGCATGTCTTATTACAACCACGCACATATATCACATTAGAGGCATGTCTTATTACAACCATGCACATATATCACATTAGAGGTATGTCTTAGTACAACCATGCACATATGTCACATTAGAGGCATGTCTTATTACAACCATGTACATATATGATATTAGAGGCATGTCTTATTACAACCATGCACATATATCACATTTGAGGCATGTTCTATTAAAACCATGCACATTCATCATTTCGTAACAGGGCATGCATTCATTTCATAATAGAGCATGCATTATCATAACAAAACATATCACAACGGAGCATATTTCAGGCACCCATGTCATCGAGCTCATTATCTCAAAAGGCATTATCAGGTTACTTTTCTAATGTTCCACAGTGAACACAATCCACCTTTAGGGACATAACATGAAGTTTAGAAGTCATTTAGACCCAAGACCACTTTCACATCAATCTTTGCTCAGGAA